CTACCAAGTTCTCCTGGTACAAGCAGTGCCCATTTGGGAGACGCTGCTCAGACCTGCACAGAGCACAAGTCCAACACATTGACTGGATTCCTTCTGAAGATACACTGGCGGCTAAAATGTCGGTACCAGGTTATTAAAGCAGTGTAACCTTTTGCACTCTTCCTGTTCGCAGGATGCAGGAGTGCTGAAAAATCCAAGCAGTTCTTGCCTGCACTCTCCCCTGAGCCACAAAAAGCCAAAAGCTCCTCCAATCCCAGATCACAAAGCGAGAAGCCACTCTACTCCCCTGTCAGCAGAGGCTTTTCTGGGACAGCTCTTCTGGCTTTCCCGGTACCCGCGTCCCTTGACAAAGGCCTTTGTCCCTCACCTGTGAACATCTTCACAAAGTCGGCGCTCGACATGCTCATAACCACATCAGCTGTCACAGGAGGCTTTCCGAAGCCAGCGTTCCCACCCTTGGTCTTCAGGTCAATATACCAAGTGCCTCCACCATCGCCTGGACAGAGAGTGAAGCGAGGTGAGAAGGCAGCAAGGACTGCTGTGCCCTCCCTCTCTCTTGTCCCCGCCAGACGGCTGCGGCCGTGCGCCTTTGCAGCGGTTCCGCGGCAGCCGCACGCTGGCGGGGGCTCTGCAAGGAGTCACCTCTCGTCCCCCGTGACGCCCCGAGCACCACGGGCTGGGGCCACGGGCAGGAGAGCCCAGAGGCTGCGCTTTGCCCACGGAGCTGGTGGCAGCTGGCGCTTCTGCCGCGGCCCCGAGAGCGCCCTGTCCGTGGCCACAGCAGCCCCGCGCGGGGCGGCGGCGCCGGGACAGAGGCTCCGCGCGCGGCACGAGGGACAGCAGCTCCCGGGGCCCGCTCGAGCGGGCACGGGGCAGGAGCGTCACACAGAACGAAGAGGAGCTGGTCTGCTTCGGGACCAGCCTCCAAAGTGTTTGTGTCTGAAAACACCCAGAGCCTTTTGCCAGGCAAGGCCGCACAAGCGATGGGCTTACCAGAGAGCTCAAACTGGAAGACACCCTGAGTGCTTCTCACGTACTCTTCAGTCACTGCCCCCTGAATAACTCGGAACGTCTCTGCAACAGGACCCGATGGCGTGGCTGCAGCAGAGTCTGTCTTAGCCTTGGCTGCATCTGCTCCTTCCTGCTGGGATCTGCTTAATTTCTTCTCCTCTTTGAATGCGAGGGCAGCACCTCCAATAAATTAATTCTTCTGCAAAGGCTTCTAAACTGTAAATCAATTTACTGCTTTTGTTGCCAACTTTCAGAACTCTCTAAACACGGACAAAGTGTTTAGGAAGGAGACACTGTTTATTCTGCCCGAGATGCAAAGCAGAGATTTTCCACAAATCAAGGCGACCAAGCATTAAAATGTGAGATAATTCACACACTGAAATCTACATAAACCTGCCTATCTAATACTAGTTACTCCTGCCTACTGCATAATCGCTGAACTTGTGCAACCTTATGCGGTACGTGTCACTGCCTCTTCGGGGATCTCTAGTGGTCCCTGCTGGTCATTTGGGGAGATGTCCTCTACTCAGTTTCAAGCAAAGTTCAGTTCAGGACATACAGAACTTCAGATTGAGAGTCAAAGAAGATGTCATTTTCTCAGACAATTGCCAGGCAGGTCATAAAATACAAAAGCTTTCCATAAACATTGAGCAACATCTGTTTAACCCACCTGATAGCATCTTTTTACATTTAAAAGAGGGGTTAAAGGAGAGAATGATACCATCAACTTCCATTTGGATCAGAGATCAAAGGCAGGGTCAGGGACAGCGAATTCTGCTTCAAGACTCAGAGCTTAAAGATATACAGAATTCTACTTAAAATGCAGAGAATTCTGTTTAAACACATCAACTTGATCAGCATTTTACTTTACCACAGTGATCATGCACATTTAACAGACCAGGAAAGCTTTTCCAACAAAGGAAAGCTTTTGCAATAAAGGAAAGCTTTTGCAATTTACAAAGCC